GGATGGATGGATGGATTTTGGTTGCCACATACATACACACTGTACAGACATACACTGTTTCTTATACAGAGAAATGATAACATCACAATAGGTGGCGTTTATATCCATCTAACGTAAGGGAAGGTGTAAGTTTTAGGTTTGAATGTTAGTCTCAGAGTAATGCCTGCTTTGAGAAGCCACTAGTCATACCTGTCACTGTACTTTGTGCAAAGTAAAGTTCACATTGCTGCAGTGCTTCTATGCATTGCTTATGAAGTCATGCCTTTTCCTTTAGAGCAAAGGGTCTGGATGTGCCTGGTATGAAGTTGGACAATGTCATGATGCTGGAGACGCCAGAGGATGCCCGGCACATCCACGCAGCCTGTCTGGGCAGCAACGTTGTCCTCGTGGGAACCTCTTTTGTTGGTACTGTGCGAAACCTGCACATATTTTTACATTTGTTTTGATTGGATATGTGCAGGAGGAAATAGACATAATAGATTCAACTCTTCTGCAATAACATCTAATTGTGAAATATAGATAAAACAAAAATTCACAGTTATCGTTAATATTTGTCAGTTTTATGAAGGTCCAAAAGATTATTATATGAGCCAAAATCATAATAATAAACTTAACTATGTCATAAATAATAGGCCTACTGTTAACTAATGAAAAAAAGAAATATAAAGCTTTATGCTTTTCCTTTAGCTTGTCGTTAGTTTGTAAAATGAATGACTTGATAAACTGGTGCATTTTGTTGTTTAACTCCATAATTTGTTCCTATTTTTTGGTCTCACAACCATGATCAGGAATCTACTTATTATTTTCTCCAATGTTTCCTGATGCTTGTATGATAACGTTCAAGTGAGTCAAAGGAATGATTGGATTAAGAGTACACAAACATGTCCTCTATTTTTTTTTGCAGATATCATTTTGTCAGTTTTGCGGCTAATTACAGATTTAGTTATTAGAGATTTCAACTTTTTTTCCATTTCAATACTATCAGTACTCCTGATTTTCTCTACAGTAGCCACATTTACTTGTTTTTCAGGTATGGAAGTTGCATCTTATTTGATTGACAAAGCCTCCAGAATCACAGTGATTGGCAGCAGTGAGCTGCCGTACCAGAACACGCTGGGCCGTGAAATTGGCAGAGTTACCTTGATGGTAAGTAAGAAACAGAGACATGGAGCCCTGTATTGTATCATCACATTACTTTTCTTTTCAGCTCAATTATTTGTTGTTTAAACTCTGTTGTTCCTGCAGATGCTGTCAGAGAAAGACGTGAAATTCTACATGAATGATAGTGTGATAGAGGTCAAAGGTGTGAATGGAAAGGTATCCGTCCCAGTTCAGACTTAACATCCGCACGACACAGCAATAAGAAAATGTAAACATTCACATTTCTTTCTGTTCTTCCTCTCATCGTCCTTTCTTCTTCTTCAAGGTGAAGGAGGTTGTGCTTAAAAGTGGAACAGTAATCCCAACTGATGTTCTGATTGTTGGTATTGGTGAGTGCAATGCGGATGTTTTTGTGATTTCACATTTACACAATGTAATGTGCAATTACTTTATATAAAAACAGCCAAAATATCTTTTAATTACTCTAACTGCTTTATGTACATTTTAAAAATGTGTTAATTCAATAGCTGTATTTAGTCATTGTTTATAATTGAGTAAAGATAATTTTGCTGCCATTGCACTTAAGCTAACTGTTTTTAGTCTTTGCGCCAAGTTGCGCGAATCAGCTGCTGGCCGCAGCTTCATATTTGAAGGTTCTTTTTTCTTTACTACCTTTTTCTGGCAGCTTTAGTTGCTTTAGAAGTTGAGACTTTTGCACACAAAATATATTCAAAAAAAATCTTGTGCAATATAATGTTCTGTTTTAATTTAAACTACTCAACACGTACAGTTGAAACAGTCGATTAATCAACTTGTCAACTTACAGAAAATCTACAACTATTTGAATAATTCATAAACCAAATCCAAAAAACCTGCTTAACCGCTTCTCTGTCACTTTTCCATCCTCCACCAGGCAGCATCCCAAACTCAGAGTTCCTACAAGGCAGCAAAATACAGATGAACGCAAAAAACTTTGTTATAGTCGACAAGGTCAGCTAATAATCTGTTTTCATGTTGTGCTTTTATTCTGAACTCATGACCATTGATCTTGTGCTTTTTTCAACCTTATGCTTTGTTAAGATGATTTTTCAGAGCCCACATGCTTCACTGCTGGTCCGATTGTAACTAAATATGAACTCTCAGAGAGATTAAGGCTGTACCTGTAGGTGGATGTAATATCCGTCTATTGCAGGACCCCTTGTCCATGTCACTGAGAGTAATTCTTTATGACTTATGGCTATATGTTGAATGAGATGAAAGTGTTTTTGGTGCTGGTAAATTGAGACAGATTGTCCTGTACCCCAAACATAACATTAGGATTAATAAACTTGTATTAATCAGTGTATTCTGCAGCAATAATCATCAGTTTCCTGCCTGTGTTTGCATCCTGCAGGGCATGCGCACCAACGTCCCTGACGTGTACAGTGGAGGTGACCTGGTGACCTTCCCACTGGCGATGGCCAATAACCAGCTGGTGAACATTGGACACTGGCAGATGGCACAAGCACACGGTAATGTAGAAACAACATAAATGGCTTTACAAAGAAAGTTTGTATCTGAGAGCTTGACCACCTTACGTAAGACTAAACTCCCACTAATTCTGGGTGAATTTATACTGCCTTCAAACTATGAGACACTGAGCAATAATGACAAACCACTCATCTCTTTTTTCTGCAGCAGAGCATGTTAGAAGTTTTATTTAGTTTTATTTTACTGGGAAACTCTAGTTTCTAGTGAGGAGCAGAGTGGTTTGAGTGCAGTGCAGAGCTGCATCAGGGCTGAGCTGCACTCACGGCAGAGCTCAGTAATTTTGATTACTCATAATTTAATTGAACAAATGAGTATGACTGATGACGTCCTCACTGCTATACATTTCCATTAGATCTCTGAAAACTTAACATCATGAGCCATGTTGTCTGCTTTCTCGTCATTTGGTGTCACTGTTTAGCATTGATTGTTGCCTTGGAAACAAATGCAAGTGACATTTGTGTTTCTTGAAATATGAAAAACAACTAGTCAAGGAGATAAAGGGTCAGAACCCCAATATACCAGCAGAATTTAATTCTTCATTCGGTCATGAGTTAGACACAAAGATGAGCCATGAGATTGTGATTTAATCAAAAACTGGAAGGTAATCTAGGGTTTCTGGCTTGGACTGAGCTCTTGTGGAGTGAAGACAGACAACAGCACACAAGATTGGTCCACGTACAGTAAAGGAAGTGATTCTGTGTTACCATCTTAGACAGAAATCTATGCATTTTTCAGTTATTTCTGACTGATTAAAAAATAAAGTATATCAAGCTTGAGTAAATGAAAACTCCAATTAACAAATTTTGGGGGGAAAAAATTTGAATTGCTATTTTTATTTTAAATTCTCATCATTGTGGCACTTGTGATTTTCCTCTTTGCTGGAAAAAACTATGATTGATTGCACCTTCATTTCAGTAGTTTAAATGTAATTGTATTCCATCACAATGCACATTTGATTTTACTCAAAATTTGAGTTTGAAGGCATGTCATCTTTCTAAAATCATCAGCATTACAGCATTTATAAGAGTAACATCAGGAAGAATTGTCAGATTTTTAGCTTGCAGGTTTTAATTAACATGATGACAATTAGTTACATCTGAGCTTAGATTATACATATTTCATTAAAACTGCTTCATTTTATGTGCCCATTTACAAATTGCCAAAAAGAAACCAAAATTCTCAACTAGTTTCTGTAAAAATAAATAAATAAATAAATAAAATGATGTTAAGAGATTCTGTCTTCTAGTAAATACTTTGCTAAACCAGTATTATTTTTTATTCTTCTTACATCTTAAATATCTGTGCCTAAACTACAGTATTGTCTCCGGCCTCATTTGCAGTTAAACTGTAATTGTTTTGCGTTTTATTTTTGGATTGGTTTTCAGGGAGAGTAGTAGCTTTGAACATGCTGAAAAAACCAAGTGAACTCACCTCAGTTCCTTTCTACTGGACCGTCCTACTGGGTAAAACCATCCGATATACAGGTGGGCAAACACACAGTCTGGGCTAAAAACTGTATATACTGATTGCCACGATGATAGCGTTCAGATGCAAACACTTGGTTAAATGCAACTTGTGTTTTTACTTTGGTTGTGTGCAGGCTATGGGGAGGGATACACTGATATTGTAATTAAAGGAAGCTTTGAGGAGAGGAAGTTCCTGGCATTGTACATCAAGTAAGTCAAGAAGAACATCTGCTGAAGAACACGAAGAAACTGAAAAATGTAATCCTTATAGAGTAACATCTATATATGGGTGCGTTTGTGATTGTGTTTTTTCTTTTAGGAATGATGGGGTCATAGCAGCAGCAGGCCTAAACTACGATCCAGTTGTGTCTGCAGTAGCTGAGAGGCTAGCAGCAGGAAAAGTCATCACAAAGAAAGAGGCTGAGTATGTAAAATGGTTCTGTTTATTCCCACTTTGTTCCCATTTCTAGATTATTTTATAATCTGAACACCAGATGATTTTTGGTGTTTATGGATCATTTAATAGTGATTAGATTAGATTACAGATACAAGTCTCATGTTGACTTTTGCTGGCTCTTGGCCAGGACGCCCTTGTAAAAGAGGTTTTTAATCTCAATGGTTTTTTCCTGGTTAAATAAAGGTTAAATTAAAAAAAATTAACACTTGTAATGGACAACAATGATGAAATCATATTTGTAGACCAATCAAAGTGATTCAGTTGCTTCTTGTCTCACAGAGTTTATGATTCTTGTCTCCAGTTCACAGGTTCACTCCATGTTGTTTTTTTCTTTCTTTTACTTCACTAAACTAAAGCATCTTCAGAATCAGAAATCAGAATCAGAATCAGCTTTAATGGCCAAGTACATACACAACATACAAGGAATTTGGTTTCAGCTGTTGGTGTCGCCCTAGGAATTTGCACAAATAATAGAAATAGGAAAATGTTAAAAATAAAATAAAGTAAAATATCTACAGAAAGAAAAGAATAAAATACAATAAATATTAATAAACAATAAAACAAGATAATAAGACAAATATATACAAGAATTTACTTAATCTTAAGACAGATTACATTTGAGTCATGGCACTAAGCTTTGGACTTTCTTTCTTTGCTTTGGAGAATTTTTTTCAGGAAAAACAAGATAAATATGAACGGTATTAAAAGCATTTGTTTGGTGTGTGAAAGAAGGATAAGTTTTCTATCATCATGGAGCAGTCTGAACATATTTTTCATCCCGATGGATAAAATGTATGAGTGGATTCTGAATATGCTCTCACAAGTGATGAGCGTTGTTTATCCTTCTGTAATAGCAACGTGAAAACGATAAACAATGAATCTACAGAGAATTGTCACCTAAACCTGCATCTCTCCTCAGCTTTGCACTACTTTATAGTGAAGTTCAGCTCATGTTTTAGCTTTACTAGTGTGCTTCACACTGACTATCTGAATGTGCACACAGCAAGCAGCTGTTTAAAGAAGCTCTAAGAACTCACTTTACACCACCTGCTCAGTACCAAACAGCAGACAGACAAAGGTAACAACTAACTAGTGAACATAATGCAGCTACAGAGCCGAATATTTCCCCCAGGAGCTGATGGAGACCAAAAACTGAGCAAAAAGAGAGTTAATATTTGTGAAATTTTTGTGTACGACCAATTGTCCTACAAAAAATTGCAATCAATTATTTAATTCTCTTTTTATGTCCATTGTATGCCTCTATTATAGGGTCTCTTTTTTCATTTGGCTTAAAATCAACATGTGCCGGCATTGCTGCTGTGAGATATTCAGGTTTACAACTAAATCTGTGACGTTAATGTCTGTAGATGCTCATCAAAAAGCAGTCAGTCAAATATTAGAAGTTCAATGGCGAAGTGCTATTAAATAGAGCAGAAGAAGAGGGCGCAAACAGTTCAAAGCAATGTGCAAATAGTGACTGGAATATGATATTCCTGTTAGTGTTGTGCAGCTGCTGAAGTTATTCAAACAATTATGCAAAATGATTGGCTGTAATAATTGTGATCCAGCCTAATTCGATTCACCAGATGGCCAGAAACATGACTCCAAATAAAGTTTAGTTGGCTCAGATGTAATCCAATATATGAGAGGAACAAGCTGTTAATCAAATGCATTAAAGGGCGTAAATCCACATAAGCTCGTGTCTTTTCTCTTTCCTCTCCCTGGCAGATCAGATGACCTGAGCTGGCTGCAGTCGTTGTCCTGATCTACACTTTCTTCCACTTACACATCATCTGTACAGTGTTCACATGCAGCCAGGGAGTCCTCCTTCTGTCTGGATTAAACTGTTTCAATCAGAGGAGACAGACTTTGCTGGTGAAGAGCACCGACCAAAGTGAATGTTGTATTTACAGCTCGGTGCTCTGTGTGGAAGTATTGGATTTCAAACTGTACGTCATGCAGTCAGTGTTCATGTGAGGGGGAGTTCACCATGTAAACAACAGATACCTCAAATGGATGCAGCTTTTGGAGCTTTTTTTTTTAATCTTAATATTTGTCATTATTTCAACAGATTTTGTTTTTAACTTCATGGATTTCTGTCTCCAGGAATGTTTCAGTAACAGTCCAGAGACATCACCTTTTAAGATGCCTCGCTATGTTCTCTGCTGTTAATATTTAAAAGCTGCCTTTTACTTGGATGGGGCTGCTGAAAAAAAAAACCTAAAAAAACACAAGTGACCTTAATAGCCGACTGCAGCCGTGTACGTGGTCCGGCCGGTGAGAGGAGGATTAGGAGAACAGAGGGGGAGTGTTCAGTGCTTTGAAACAGAGGTGCTGAAACAGGCAACAGTGACAAACACAGGGAACAATCGGCCTTCGGCAAACAGCAAACAAAGGCACCGTGACAAAACCTTTACAAAAGAAATGCTGCGTTTTTCTCTCTTCTCCCCCTCAGTCTCTCTGCTGGTTTATCGCTGTCTGTACTTCACACCTCAGCTTTCACTCTGAGCTTCACCCTCAACAGTGGCGGGATCCAAGGCTCTTGGAGGCCTGCTGCAGCTCTCATATCTGAGGTGTGAAGGTGCTCACATTCTCTGTACTTCTTCATAATTTTTGATAACTATTTTTTTTCTTTTTCGAGTATCTAAGTTACAATCAGCAATTAAAATGACATTATTCCATACTCTTTTCATATGGATGAGAGTTCTTGATAAAAATCTACCGCCCTGTTATTTTACACCACAGAATGGATTAAAGGTTTCACAAGATACCGATACTGACAATAACTGATATTTGAAAAACTGAGTAACTCTATCATGTTAATAATCCATATAGAGTGATATCATAAGTAATCCAGACCAACATATAGTGCAGTTATGGTAACAGGCTCTCTCCATACACTCCTATTCTGAGCTTATTTAATTGATCAAAAAAAGAGCCAAAAACACGTAATAAACAAAGTTTACGATGAATTTAACTGTTTCTATTCTTTTGGCCACGATAATCGTGTAGTGAAAATATGCTACATGGGTATATGCTTATCTTAATATAATACACTTTCTGCATATCAATTTGAGAAACTGTTATTTTGTGATGAAACACTAATTTTCTGGTTAATAGAGGGAAGTGAATATTAGACACATCAAGGTTCTTCAACACATTAAAGCTAAAAAATGTAATGGTTAAGATCACAGATAACTAAAGACAGACCGGACATATTTTATTGCATATCTTGAGTTCCACTTTTAAAGTTAAATGCAAAACAGTTTCCATGTTTTCTGATCATCTTACTGGCAGAAGGCAACACCGACTGTCCTAATAGTCCTGCACCGTCACATCTCTCTCATGCAATGAGTCAATTATCAGCTTAAAAGCTATCAAAAACAGCTTTAAGCCTTAGTTTGAATCACTGCACATTGCTCCAGAAAGTAATTTGGCTTAATATGAATTTGTGAGGTAAGAAAACTGTATTTGTTCTCCTGAGGAACAAGTCACAGCTTTGCTTTGCCTCATGTAACACGAAGAAGCAGTTACAACGCTGAAAATCAGTCCTCTTGTTAGTAAAAGCTTTGTTATCATTGCAAAGTGATCCCTGATGCCAGAAGGAAATAACAGTGATGTAATCGTCATTTACACTTTTTGTCGTGTGTTTCAGTTTGTTCATGCATTAAAAGAAAAACCTCAGTCACAACATTTCTGTCTTTCTGTGCTTTCCCTGACTTGGAGTGCTTGACTTTTCTGCCACCTATTGCCCATGAGTGGTAATATCACAGGAACAACAGTCAAGTAACAATCAGTTCCTTTTTATGAATTCATGCCTATAATCTCAGTCACATAAACTTCTTTCCCACTTATATGGTTTTAAAAAATACTTTAGGTCATCTTTTGCACAATACTCCATTTGCACTTTGTACATCAAGTGATCACCTGAAGTGTGAGGAGGCAGCATGGCAACACATTTAAAACTGGAAATATTATTAACACATCACTGTGACTTGTGTGTTTAGCTCTTAATTGCCGTAAGAAAGAGAGAAATAACAAGTTTGAGAATTTGCACATTAGCTCACAGGTCAACTAAGTCAGCAAAATGCTTAACAGCTTGAGCTTTAGACAACATTTCATTTCTACATTCTCACATTCTCACATTATAGTGGTGAAAAAGTAATGTGACTCCCATCCAGCTAACCCTCCTCTGCTTCACTGACAGATATGAGTGGGCCTCAGAGGTGTTATCCTGATTGGGTTTCAGTCCTGAAAGATCAACTTTGGGCCTTTTTTGGAAGCGTTACATAATTCAGCAGCACAAGATAAACTGTGCAAATCCTCTATTAAGTTTTTAACAGGCCTATTCAGCAGGAGGAGGTTCTGTCTTTGTGACAGCTGTGGCACCGTGGGTACATAGTTTGTACTTGACAGCATTTCTGCTGGGAGCTTTAAAGGGTAATGAATTGGCAACATGCTCAGTTTCTGTTCAGTCCAAAGGATCTTCTCTTTTATGTCTCACGGTGGTGGAGTTTATTTTAAACTGTGAGCAAATACAGCTTTCTCAATATCAGTCTGTGCTCAGATGCAGTAATGATGCAGCACCTTGTTCAGATTCAGTCAAAAATTTTTACTCTTTGCTCTCTTTAGGAAAAGTCTGTCTCAAGGCATCCTGGGCTTCTTTCAGCAGAACCTCTCTGTGAGCAATGTATCGCAGCCGCCTGTTGGCCCTGTACTGCTCCAGCCTCTTCGCCTCAGCCTGGGGGTCCTGCAGCACTCCCTCCCACCTCAGGCTCTCCCTGGCCTGGACGCTGAGCTCTGTCACGTACCCCTGCACCAGAGCTCCTCTGCCACTATCTGGTGAATCCTTGAGGGTTTTTTTGCTCCTCCGTCTACTGCTGCCCAGACGTTCTCCATTCTTCTGACTGGGAGCTCTGAGCTTTGGAAGCTGGCCTTGAGGCTGAGCAGGATGCTGAGGGGGTGGCAGGGACACCAGCGAGGTCTCAGGAGGCAAAGAACCAGGCTGAAGTTTCTCTGTAGGGAGGCAGCAGAAACATGAAAGCCCCTGCACACTACCAAACAAAGCGGAGGGTTTAGATTACTAATGACTCCCTTTGGAGTTGGAGGTCTATTGGCTTGGTTTACAGTAATGAGCTGCAGTGAGGACACACTGGGGGCCTATTTTCTAACGACCTACTCAGCGCTGCAGGGAATCCTCCTGCAGCACCACATGGTACTTATACTGCTGCTTACATTGTGTACATTCTGTGACATTTGCTTGAACTGGCCAAGTGGTGATACACTAGGGTCAGTGCAAACAGTTGTTTTTCTGTCTGTGTGTCTTCACACTGCTGCATGACTGATCATAAATTCATACTATGACAGAGGCTTTTCATTAGATCACTGTTTGTAGCAGTGTTCTGTCTGTGTTTGTTGGCAGCATGTACTCCATCAGGAACATAGGCTGCTTCCAAAGGACATGCTTTTAATGAAAAAAAAAAGTGACACAGTAATTTAATTTCCTTTACTGCAACAAAGCCTGGAGTAGCAAATCTATTTTCAGTCTTCTTCAAGACTTCAGGATGGTTAGACTTATGTCAATATGTAGACAGAAGAATTTTGACGCAAAATATATTGATACATTCAAAAATAAAAAAGAATTGAAAGCTTTAATGCGACTTTAACATCAATTTTATTGATTTGGATCAACCTTTTAAGTTGCAAACATGGTTTTGATGACTTGTGTTGACATAATAATGTATGCAATTAATCCGACTTAATATTGGAGGTAATTTAAACAAAAAATCTGCTTTTTCTGAGCTTAAACTATATGGAAGTTTGACTTTTCTCCACCTTGAATTCAGGACTGTGTGTCATTAAACACTTTAAAACGTGTGTTTATGAAACTGAGTAAGGTAACTGGTAATTAAAAATACCAGTTAAAGACTGGTTCCGTTAACTAAATGTTGTTAGTTCATTTAACAGAATTCTATTTGAAGTGGCCACAACTTAAAACCTGTTGCATCATTTTATTTATTTATTTAGTTTATGGTTGAGTCTAAGTATTTGTTTGTGTCTTCTTAAAAAAAAAAAAGAAAGAAAGAAAGTAGACTTTCTTGTGCAACTCCAGCTAATTTCACTGCACATTTGAATGTAGCACTTTATTATATACTGTATAATTTGACACTGTTGTTTTGCTGCATGTCCCCAACCACTAATAAGTCTGTTTACCTGGATTTTCTGGCTCGCTGGTGGAAACAGAGGTTTTCTTTTTGTCCTCCAGCATGATGATGTGTTGGCACCCAGTGGCTGGTAAACAGGTTTGTGCAGGAGATGATTCCTCTCACTAACTGCAAGACCAAAACCAAACAAACAAACAAAAAAACAGAGACCTGGAAAAGTTCGTTTTGTCACAAGTGCGGCTGCGCAGCGACCATCTGCTGCTGTTTCCTTCAGTCCCGAGACAAGCCGCTTTGGTGCTCGTTGTTCGAAATAAACACAAAAAGGCTTCAAAACGTCTAAAATGCTGGATGCTACGTTGCTACTTTTGTTGCTTCCTATTTGTTCCGGGAAAAACGTTCCCACAATCACGCTACACTGCCGCGTTGCCCAGAAACGCGTCTCCATGGCAACAGGACACGCCTTCTCTGAGAACAACTGTTGGTAATTTAAATATATTTCAGCGTACTTTTCAACAAAACTTTATTACTCTAGTAAAAGTTCATACATTTAAATGTTTTACATGTCAGAGAAAATTCTGTATTTTCTTTTTTCCAGTTACTGGAATACATATTTTTATTCGGCTGCATTTATTTACTACTAATTAAGACTTTTCTGTCTCAAGAAAATATTTCAT